TATTTTTTTTTAATATATTTTATTGATTTTTTACAGAGAGGAAGGGAGAGGGATAGAGAGTTAGAAACATCGATGAGAGAGAAACATCGGTCAGCTGCCTCCTGCACACTCCCCACTGGGGATGTGCCTGCAACCAAGGTACATGCCCTTGACTGGAATCGAACCTGGGACCCTTGAGTCCGCAGGCCGACGCTCTATCCGCTGAGCTAAACCAGTTAGGGCTACCAGGTATTTTTAAAAAGAAAGAAATGTAGCAACCATTATATCTCAGATGCTATGAAAAAACTGATCACCCTCAAATTATCCTTATGGAATCCAGACTCTGCTGGATATATATAAAATATTATTTTTCAATTATAGTTGACATTCAGTATTATTTTATATTAGTTGCAGGTGTACTGCATAATGGTTAGGCAATTATATAATTTACAAAGTGATCCCCGAGGGACTCTAGTACCCATCTGGCACCATACATAGTTATTAAATATTATTGACTGTATTCCTTATGATGTACTTGGCATTCCTGTGACAACTTTGTAATTACTAATTTGTACTTCTTAATTCCTTCAACCTTTTTCACCCAGCTCCCCAACCCCCCTCCCATCTGGCATATCCATATCTATCTATATACATAGATATACATCTATAGTTATCTATATCTATATAGCAATATCTATACATACAGACACTGAGTACCTACTATATGTCAGGCATGAGTATTATAGAGGGTAGAATGCCAGTGTGTCTAGACCTGTCCCTAGACAAATGCACCTAATATTTTGCAAAAATGTTTTCAAAATTACTAGAGGGTATAATGATAAGTGAAGTAAGTTCAGACAGAGAAAAACAAATATCGTATGGTTTCACTTACATATGGAATCTAAAAAACAAAACAAAAACAGACTCACAGAAACAGAGACCAAACTGACGGTTACCAGATGAGAGTAGGAGGGACAGATGAAAAGGGTGCAAAACATAGTCAATAATATTGTGATAACTTTGCACCATGACAGATGTTTACTAGACTTAGTGTGGTGATCACAGTGCAAGGTATATGAATGCTGAATTACTGTATCGTACACCTGGAGTTAATATAATATTATATTTCAACTATACTTAATTTTTTTAAAAAAAATGACCTCCTGAGATTCATCCATAGACCCCAATATGACTCTCCTTCATACTATGGTGGTGAGAGTACAAAATGGAATAATCCCTAAGAGGAGGAATTTGGCAACATCTACAGTTACACGTGCATTTACTCTTTGCCCATCCAGTCTCACTTCTGGAACCCTAGCTTACAGAAAGATGAAGTCAAATATGCACGTGGTTATTTTGCACCAGTACTTAGAATGCCCAAACTGGAACCCCATCCAAAGATCATCATCCAGGGGTTGGTGAGAGACAGCAACGCAGTGGCGACTGCGCAGATATAACAGGAGATGAGGAAGGTCTTTAAAACAGGGGGTGACTCTAGGACGCAGTGTGGAATGAAACGAAAAACAAGGGGGAGAAAGCGTATGCCATCCTTTGTATTAGCAACCGCCGTGGGGAAAGCAGGTGAGTGCGTGTGCAGGTCAATGGAGTCCAAAAACCTAAAACTCTGACATGGGTGTCTTAACCACACAGAGAAAACAATGATCACAAACGAATTTGGAACACGGTATCTTGACTGTATTCCTCCCATGGGATAGACTCTAAAACCAAAAATAACTACACTGACATCTTAGTATCATTTGAAGTGGAGTAAGATCAAATAGGGGGGGGGGGGGGGGGGGCGGATTCTTGCTGCTGCTCCATAAAGATAACACACAGGAAGGGGACCGCGGACCCTAATGGAGAAAACCTCTGGCCCAAGAGCGGGGCCCCGCTGAGGGTCAGTCTCAGATTGATGGGCGCCTCGCATTAGGGGAGGACCCAGGTGAGCCTCCTCACGTCGCTCGACATGTTTCCTGTCCCTGAAATCGCCATAATACCCATCCTACGAAGGCTGTTTTAAGGAATGTTATTTTTCATATAAGAAAGCCCCTTCCCACAGAACAGCCGCGTTGCGCCAGGAGAAGTTGTTACAAGAAACAGAAAAAGGTCCCTCGCCCGCGCCTGGGGAAGCCAGCCGGCTGAGTGGGAAAGGAGGGGATTCGGGGAGGTCGTCAGATTTAGCGAATAAAAACACAGATGCCCAGTTAAATTTGAATTTCAGATCAACAGCGACTGGTGTTTATCATGCTCTGCTTGTACTAAAAGGTTATTCCTTGTTTCTCTGACATGCAAGTTTAACTGGGAGTCCGGTGTTCATCGGGCAACCTGGATCGGGGGCGGGTCGGGGTCTTTTCCCGT